TTACTTCTTTGGCTAAACCTCAGGTGACGGGAGCAACCTGTGTCATCTCCTGCTGATTCTCTGTGCTGAGGACAGTGTTTCTCTCATGGTCCCTCCTCACCTGAGAGGCACGACAGCATCCTTGTGGCAGATGCACAGGGAGCCTTACAAGTTTGTCCCCTCCCTCCCACCCTCTCTGCTCTCCAGGAACTGACCTCAGTCCTCACGCTGTCCACGTCTCCTGTACTATGAGAGTCAGAGACCCCAGGTATCTTCTGCTCTGAAAGGTGTTCTCCTCTGTCTGGACAGAAAGTCTTTGTATGCTATCCTGTGCTCATTTCACACCAGGGATGATTGTGAAACTTTAGGCTCGGAATTCCAGGCTTTATTGTGTGTGCATGTGTGTGTTTGTATGTATGTGTATATATATGTGTGTGTGTGTGTGTGTGTGTATGTGTGTATGTATGTGTGAATGTGTGTGTATATATGTATGTTTGTATGTGTGTGTATATATATATATTTGTGTGTGTGTGAATGTATGCTTGTGTGTGTGTATATTTATGTATGTGTGAATGTGTGAATGTGTGTGTGAATGTGTGTGCATATATGTATGTGTGTGAATGTGTGTGTATGTGTGTGTGTATATGTATGTGTCGGGGGAGGGGGAAAGCATCATTCACCTGTGTGGGTATATGTGGAGGCCAGAGTTTTTGTTGAGATATTTTCACAATTACTTTTCCACTTTATTATTTTTTTAGGCTAGGGTCTTTCACAGAAGCTGGAAATGACTGTTTACAGAAGATCCCAAAGAGTCTTCTGCCTCTGCCCCCTCGCACTGGGGTTACAGATGTGAGCAACAACGCCCAGTTTTTACATGGGTGTTGAGGATCTGAACCCAGTTCCTCACACTTGTTCAGCAATCCCTTTCACCACTGAGTCCCCCCCCCCCCCCGCCCCAGTTCCTTTCAAGCTTCATTTTTATGAGCAAAAATGATAGGAACTTAAAGTAGCTAATGAATGAGCAAGGATGAAATCAACGCAGCACTCCGGCCGCTGGCTGCCGTGTAACGGCCACCCCCAAAGTCAGACGCTACAAACGATATCATTTACTGACTGCGTTCCAGGCTGCAGTCTGCACAGGCTTGCGTCTGCGTCACATGCTGTCAGCTGGGGCAAATCAATCCAAAGCTGTCATGTGTGCCTGAACGTTCGTGCTCTTAGCATGTCAGGAATCCTCCGTCTCACAGAGGCTGGCTTTCAAGCATTGTTAGGCTTTATTCTCAAAACAATTCTTGGAAGCTATGGGAACCCACTCGCCTTTCTCAGGTTGAATGGCCAAGGAAGCAAAGAGTGCCACTGACTCATGGGTGGAGACCCTCGCGTGGTCAAGTATGACCACTGCAAACCGTATCAGTGTGTTCCAAAAGAATTCAAGTTATTTTGATTCTACTGCATGGACTGACTTTGTGGGAGCCTGGTTTGTCTGGATGCTCACCTTCCTAGAACTGGATGGAGGGGGGAGGACCTTGGACTTCCCACAGGGCAGGGAACCCTGACTGCTCTTAGGACTAGAGAGGGAGGGGGAGGTGGGGAAGGGGGAGAGAAAAGGGAGGCGGGGAGGAGGTGGAAATTTTTAATAAATAAATAAATAATTTAAAAAAGAAGAAAGAAAATTAGCAGCTTAACTCTTTAGCAAATGAATTTTAGTGTTTGAACTGATTTTTGCTCAGAGTTGTTTCTCGGTGTGTTTGCTGATTCAGGATCATTAGCAGATGTCATCTGCAGTGGTCTGGTGACATTTACTGTTTAGAGAAAAGTTCCCTATTGGGGTGAAATGAAATTTGAATAATCTCAAAAAAAATAAAAATTAAAAAAACCACATTTGTATTCATTCTTGAAGAATTCCATGCAACATGCATTAATCATACTTACCCCCACTCCTCCCAAACTCTCTCAGATTCACCCCTACTGTCCCTCAGATAACCCACCAATCCCAGTTTGTTTCGCCCATATATTCATGGGTGCAAGGCCATCACTGGAGCTTGATTGACCTACCAGGGACCACGCTCTTAAAGAAATCTGACTGTTCTTCCCTCAGAAGCCACCAACAGTCAATGACACCTCAAGGGTATAAGCTACCAAATGCCTGCCCACTCCAGGCTGGAATGTTGACCAGATTGATCTTGGGCAGGTCTTTCGTAGGCAACCACAGCTGCTGTGACTTCCTGGGTGGCACAGTCCTGTCGTGTCCAGACATCGGTGCTTCACTCTGGTCCCCCCCCCCACCTCAAGCCAACTCTTCTGTGATGGTTCCTGGGCCTGGGCTGTGTGCAATACAGAGGTTCCAGCTGTGGCTGAGGTCTCTGCTGATCTCTCTGCACCTTGGCCAGTGCTCAGGTGCTTTGTATACCTATTGCATTTTGTTCATTTATTAGTTCCCTTAATGAGGAGGAAAATGGAATTATCTCTTGTTTTATGCCTGTTTTTGAAGAACATTGATGGCGTATACAAATCTTTTAGTAAACAGGTAGATAAATTAATCAAGAATAGCCACTAAATTTATGATGGACAAATGTATTGTTGACTTTTGATAGGAGCACTTCACAGGAACAACGTTTTTATTTATTTTTATTTTTTAAACATTTATTTTTTAATAGCAGTGGGTAGGTTCACTAATGCCACAGTACTTATGGGAAAGAAAACCAAAGGGAGCTGATTCTCTCCTTTATACCATCATTGAATATTCTATATTTTTAAAAAAGAAAATGATATGAAAAGTATAAATATAAACGATATGAAAAGTATAAATATCTATCACACAAGCAAACTGAAGAATTGTTTAAAGATTTACTTACTTTTATTGTACACACATGAATAGTTTGCTTGCATGTATGTATGTATGTGCTCCGTGTGAGTGCCTGGGGCCCACGGAAGCCGGAAGAGGGTGTCAAATTCTCTGGAACTGGAGCTGCAGAGGGTTGTGAGCCAACACATGAGTGACAGTAATTGAACCCGTGTCCTCTGAAAGAGCAGCAAGCTCACCTAGAAGTCGGCTCCTCAGTCCTGCTTTCTTGGTGTTCCATGGGCTGATGGGATGACTCAGCAGGTAAAGGTGTCCACCATAGTCTGACAAGCTGAGTTCAATCCCTGGGACCCACATCCTTATGGATAAAATTAAAATAAATAAGTAAATAAATAAATCTTTTAAAATCCTTTATATTTTTTAGATCCTAATATAATTACCTCATTTCCCTCTTTTCTTTCTTTAAATCCTCCATGTACCTGCCCCTTTGCTCTCTTTCAAATTCATGATTCCTTTGAAAAATTGTTGTGATGTGTGTGTGTGTGTGTGTGTGTGTGTGTGTGTGTGTCATAGGGAAACATACATACCCACACCCACATGTAATCCTTTATTTTAAATAACTGCAGAGGGGCTGGAGAGATGATTCAATTCCCAGCACCCACATGGCAGTCCACAGCCTTCTGCTAGTCCACTTCTGGAGTACCCTACGCCCTCACACACTCATGCATGCAAGCAAGACACCAGTGCACAGAAAATAAAAATAAATCATTTAAAAAAATGCTGAAAGCTTATGGGATGTCAGTGATATTTTGGTTCTATAGAGTAGTAAATTGAGACACACTGAGATCCCCAGCTGGGATTGCGGCAGGCACTCTATTTACATAGGCCCCAGGTGATTGGCTGATGAGTCAGGGGAGGCATTAGAGCCCTGGGGAGCATGGCATCTATAGGAACTGATTCCTAGGCTGGACCCTGAAGGACAAATAAGAATGGAATCTGATGAAACAGCTGAGCAGGGATCACGAGGTTGGGTTTCCAAGGGTTCCAGACAGTGTACTAGGGGCAGGGAAGCCAAAGAAATAGAAGATTTGGCCCTTGACTTACAGACAGTTAAATTGTTAAAACCGGCGTGTTAGCAGCTAGCATAAAAGTGCGTACATTGGTCCAGGAAGGTAGAGGAAGTCAGAATCAAGGTCAGGTCATGAGTTCATCGAGGACAAATGAGGTGGCCTTTGAGTTAGGAGCTGAAGGAAGAGGAAGAGCTCGGCAAACAAACAAGGAGTGGAAGGCACATTTCTAGCGGAGGAAATAACATATTCGGTGAACAAATTTTTAAAAAAATCTCCTGCTTCCTATTTGCAAGTTATTTCATCTTTATGCCTCAATTTCCCTCCTGATAATTGGGTGTAATGATTGCACTTCTCTAAACATTCCTACAAGCACGAAAATGATAAACACTTGTAAAGCATTTAGAGCAATGCCAGTGCATTCTAAGTCCCGTGCGAGCTTTTCTAAAGATAACAAGCTGACTGCTAACCAAACTCTTAAGACTCTTACATGAACTGCATGCCAAGCCAGTCTCCTTCAATCTAAAATCCTGCCATCTATTGCTTCTACCCAGAGAAGAAGTCAGACTTGGTATTTAACCCCACTGGATTTCCTTCTGGCCGCTCAGGGGCTTTTATTTCCTTTCAACGCCGGATCCTGCTCACCCAGTCCCTGATTCAGGAGGAACGTGGAAAAGGGTGAGCTGAGCATGAATCCTGCGGTCATCAAGATGCGCCAGAGTCTTCACACTGGCGCCCGACCAGCTCTAAGTGTCTCTAATTACATTTCAATGGAGCATATAGTCAAAATTTGACAAGCACATAAACTTAATAGCTGATCTGCAAACATAATTAGCACCAAACTGATCTGTAACTGCCAGAGAATAAACCCACGGGGCTGTTGTCCAAAGTCCTCCAGTTAAAAAGAAGAAGGTATGAGGGCTGAGGTTGTGAAGATGAAGCCACTACGGCCACCATGGAGCTGAGTGTCTGCCCCATTTGGGGCTCTAGACACAATGCAGGGAAGCAAGTCATCCGAAGGCATCACTGGAATCCTGTTTGGCTGTTCTGATGCAGGAGATAAGCAAAGGAATCAACGGGGGAAATGTAAGATGCGGAACTATAAAAATAAACCCATGTCCCTGACATCTGTGTTTGTAAATGCACTCCGTTTAAAGTGGTGGTCTTCCCTCTGCAGGGCCAATACCAGGATGACATCCTCCGTGTTTCGTTTTTCCTTTGGCCCTCCCTCATCAGAGGGCTTTCCCAGAGACCTCTTCACTTCCGGCTTTTGTTTGATGTTCTCCATATAAGAGTGGTCAGGATTGTGGACGTTATGGATGGGAGATTTCAGAAAGTCGGCTTCTCTCCTCCTCCACTGGTCGGCTACTGAGGTGAGTGTGTGCTCCCTCGTCTGCGATGGAATCCTTCCCAGCCCCTTATGTGGGGAGTGCCGCTGTGGGCAATCCCAGGACAGGTCTGAATCAAATAAATGACACATGACGGGGTGGCCAGATGTTCGCGGGTGAGAACGGGAGCTAAGTTCACACAATTGTTCTGCCTGCCTCCTCGCTTCCCGCCGGGGTTCTTTCCTGTGGGCTGCAGATCTTGTTGTCAGCAGCTCCACTTTGCTGGCCTCCACCAGCCCAGCCCGTGCTCCAGGGGCCGCCCAGCCTGTGCTCCAGGGGCCGCTCACAGTCTGCCTTCCTTTTCCTGTGCAGCTGGTGTTTGCAGAAGGACACGATTTGGAAGTTGATTTATTTACTTTGCTGTATTTTTTTATGAATGGACATAAATATCTGTTTGTTCAAACAATCAATCAACTCCAGTGATACGTTTAGAATTTAGCAGAAAAACACCCTTGGTGTGCATGTGGAACACTAAGACTTGGGGTCTGGGGACGCTCAAATAAACTGTCTCGCTCAGAGCAAAGTCAGAGAATTTGTTGCATCTTCAAATACAAGCCCAGCAGAATGGTTCATGTACTCTGCAGCCTGGGGCTCGTGAATGAAGCATCACTTCCATTTGCGGACGACCATGGCTGAAGTTCTTGTCACTTCCTTTTGTCTCTGTTGTCCTCACTTGGAGACTTTCAGGATGTTTATATGGCCTCAACTACACAGAGAGGGAATATTCCAGAAAGAGCCTCCTCTTGAGCTAACTCCTCTCCACAAATACCTTTTAAAAAGTCTGAAGATCTGAGACACAAACATGGAGCTCACAGGAACGACAGATGGGCTGGGACAGACTCGCTTCCTTTAAAGAGTTTATCCATAATTTTGAAAGCAACAAAGAAAGCCTTAAGGCACAGTCAGCCAAAAGCCACCCTCTCCTGCTTCTGCCATATCAGCCCCTGGGTTTCCCTGCCAGAAGAAACAATCACATTTCTAGAGTATTCTTTTAGAGGCGTCCTACATAGATATAACTTTCAAAGATAGGTTTGCTCCTTAGATATACAGATAATAGCATACAACACACTGTTCTGCATTTCTGCTTCTCCCCCGCCCCTGCCCCAGAACAATACATCAGACAGTCTTTTTTTTTTTTTTTTTCTTCCTGCCCATGAAGCTGTCAGGAGAGAAGCTGCTCTTCAGCTCAGTGAGCTACATCTGGTTCTGGCTTGTTGTACTGACAACAAGCACGGTGCCAAGTCAGACTCAGCCTTCTCCACAGTTATTCCCAGCCCCAAAAGACAGAGGTCCTACTCAAAACCTTAAAACTCTAATGGCAGCAAGAAGGGAGTGGGCACGGGAGACAAGGGAGGCCTAATCGTGCTGAATAGAATGTGGTATGAACAATTTGAAAGGAAAGGCACTTGGCAGCGTCGCAAAAGGGAAATCCGTTGCTTCCTTCTCTTCGTTGGTAAGCAGAACAAACTCACCTGCTGTGGGGGCATCAGTTTTGACAGGCAGGGCTCTTCAGGGTTGCTCAGTTAGTAAAGTACTGGCTGAGCAGGCCAGCAGAGGCACATCTCTCTGACCCCTGCCCTGGGGAGGCAGAGACAGGCAGATTTCCTGATGTTCATTGGCCCCTAGCCTAGGCCAATCTAAGAGCTCCAATGCTGGAAGAGACCCTGTCTCAAAGGAGTTAAGTGGTCGGTGATGCAGGGCGACACCTTCTGGCCTCCACGTGTATCACATGCTCACACACAGGCACACACACAAATGCGTGCACACAGCGCTTAGGCACACACCCTACACAAACAAGTAGATGCACCCACTTGCACACACTTAAAAAAATAAAAACAAGTAATTAATTAATTAAAAACGTCTCTAGGAGCAGTATGGCCTTAACAATGATGTGAGGCAGACAGAAATGGGACAGGCTTTGGAATGAGGCAGATATGGGTGCTAATGCTCATATACCAGATATTAGTTGATGCAAGTTGTTCAACCTCGCAGGGTTACACACACACACACACACACACACACACACACACACACACACACATACCATATTTTTACATATATAGATATATAATATATATTATACATAATATATATTTAGTAGAAATGCATGCCTGATGGTGTGGTTAAGACAATTTTTGTGTTTTAAAATTGGGAAAATAAGCATGGTGGTAGACTGAGACAATCCTGCCATTGTAAAAGGTGAGGAGGAGGATCAGGAGTTCAAGATCATTCTCCGTTACATAGCAAGTTCGAGGCCTCCCCGGCTACACGAGGCGCTTTCCTCAGGCGAGGCAGATGCTAGCTGTAACTGTATTACTGCTGCCTATCAAACAACCACACACACTCACAGCCCACACACTCACGGCACACACACTCGCTCCTCCACTGTGGCTGTACTCAGCTACTCTCACCCACGTTGGCCTAGCCTCGAAACCTTGGATCAGGTTCAGGTTTGCTATCTGAAGTCAAAGAGCACCAATGACCCGAGGGTACGGTCACAGCGGAAGGTAGAACATAGGAAGGCTGGTGGCAGTGGACCGTGTACCACAGCCTCAGCTAATAGCTAAAGCATCACATTGGCAAGGCCCGAGTCAGTGTAGTAAGAAGAATGGCTAACCACAGCCCAGATAGGGTACACCACCCCCAGGACAGTCCCCAGTACGTAGCAACATAAAAAATAAGCCTCATCACTCTGGTATTCAATAGAGAAGAAATGGCACCAAATTCATGATGATGCCAAAATAGATACTGAAACTATTTTTTTTTAAAAAAAACACATTTAAAAGTCAGTTTGTAATTTTGTTCTAATCAGAGTTGACATATATAGCTCCTTGGTATGAACTTGAAAACAGGTGTCCCGTCGAAGTAGGTGTACCTTCAGAGCCAACAGCTTGGCACATGCATAAGAACAAAATCCTCCTTCCATGGGGACAATACCAGCTCTTCACAGAACCCATGGCTGGAGGCTGGGTGTAGGAGGATGGCCCCTCAGCTGGGCTCATTGGGCAGTGCACAGCCTGAGGCCCATATGAAGTATCACTGCCCCTGAGAGAGGAAGGTAGCTCCGAGTCTCGTGCTGTATGGGGCTCTGCGTCTGAGTCCAGACCCAGGAGACATGGTGACCTAGCAGCTTGACCCAAGCTCTGGGGCTACAAGCTGGCACCACAGGGAAATGTCCAGGCTCACACTTTACTTCCATCCTGTTTGATAGAATAAGACAGAAAGGAAGGGGAGGAGCTTCTGAAGAAGCTTTATAGGACACCAAAATTAAAAGCCTGTGAGTGGATAAACCACTTCTGGGGAGTGGGGTACAAGGCGGTAACTTAGGGAGGTACGTCTCAGAGTGGAAGACTCTGCTGTATGCACATGGAGGTAACGGGAGAAAGAAAGGTGTAGGGTTCTATCGCAAGTTTCTTATTTGGAGATTGACTGGTGAAAGGTTTGAAAGTAATGATCCTCCTGGACAGAATACTAAGTTTCTCACCAAAGTCTTGTAGACCTTAATCCTAGAGCAGGTGGGGAAAGACAGAACGGGCAGAGGGAGAGAAGTGGGGAAAAACACCTAGCAGAGAAGGAGGAGGAAAAGAAGGAGGAAAAGGAGGAGGAGGAGAAGAGGAGGAGAAAGAGGAGGAGAGGGAGGAGGAGAAGGATGAGGGTGAGAAAGGAGGAAGACAGTGGCTGTCTGCTCTACTTCCCGGTAACAAGCCTAGGGCTTGATACACACAACGTGAGTGTGAGTGTGTGTGTGTGTGTGGGAAGGAAGAGGGCAGAGTGATTGTGACAATGACCTCTGTGACTTTACAGATAGCATCCCCCAGAGAATGGCAGGACATGTCTAGTCCCCAGCAAGCACTTGTACATCTTACTGGCAGGGCCAGCGCATCCTCCCCTCAGGATCACTCACCCATCTGGTCCTTCCTTGCCTATCAGCATCTGCGATCTGCAGCCTCCCCCACAGGCAGCGCAAAGACGAGCATCCCTGGCTCGCTTGTCCTCCGCTCTCTTTGGTTTTCCTGTTTGCTTGCATTAAGAGTCTGTTAGATCCTTCCTCTGAGGCCTACTTGCCAGCTGACCTGGGAGTGTTTGAGTATGCGCTCAGGGCCCCTAGCCCCAGTGACACCGCAATGACACGCTGAGCTTCCCTGAGCAAGGCTGGAACGGTCAGATCTCCCCTGGAGATGAGGACAGGAGCTGCACCTGCTGTGGACACAAAGGCTCCTGGAAAGAGTCCTCCCCGTGGGACCACCCTTGGAGGCTGTCCAGAAACAAGGCTCAGCCACTTGTCCCTCTTTAAGATGTGGCTGGGTCCAGTTAGATCCAAAGCACCCACTTGGAGGAGTGAGGTCCATCCCTGGGCCACCCAGACCCTTCCAGAACTATCCAGGACCCAGCTGCTGGTGTGGGGGATTCAACATTCTGGGACTGGCATGTTTATTTCTAAACAATCGTGAGGCTTGATAGTAAAAGAAATCAATGCTTGCTGAATACAGCCCAATTATTACTGCATTAATTCATCCGGATTAGCAGCTGCCATTGGTTGGGAGGCAGTCAGGACATTTCAGTCGGTTCAGTTGAAAAGTGCCGTGGTCGTGGGGCTACCCCACCCTCACCGCCAAGCCAGATGACCCCTCCCGGTCTGGGTGACCTTCACAGCAAGGGGGAATGGAATTATTTTAGTGTTAACTGGAAGTGGACAAACTAAGGCTTGATGGGGAGAGCTCCCAAGATAGCCATCACCTTGATACCCTTGATACCTCATGTGGGAGTCCCCTCTGTGTGCTGTGATTACCATTAATGAATAAAGGAAGTGCCTTGGCCTATTGATAGGGCAGAATTTAGGTAGGCAGGGAAGATGGAACTGAATGCTGGGAGAAAGCAGGGCGGAGTCAGAGAGGCCATGGATCCGCCACCGGAGATAGAAGTGCTGGAACTTTGCGGGTAGGCCATGACCTCATAGTGATAAACGGATTAATAGAAATGGGTTAAATTAAAATGTAAGAGTTAGCCAATAAGAAGTTAGAGCTAATGAGCCAAGCAGTGTTTTAAACAATACAGTTTCTGTGTGGTTATTTCGGTTCTGGGTAGCTGGGACAAACAAGCGGCCTTCCTGTTACAGATACCCATGTTAGACTAAGTCTGGGGTCCATGTTTTGAAAACAGAATAAACTATAACATGCTATAGGAAAGTAGAGCCCCAGCACTTTCTGATCTTCTAATGGACCATTCAACTTAACATGTGAGTTTACACCCTAAGTGAGCAGTCAAAAACTCTCTCTGCTCCAAGGAGCAATGACTGAGGACAGAGATTATCTGATCGCCATTAGGAAACAAGGTAGATCTGGCCCAAGTTCGTATGTTGGAGCCCAAACCCCCACTACCAAAGAGTGGGGCTGTATTTGGAAATCCAGACTTCAAAGAGGTGATTAATATGACGGGTGAGTAGATGTTCAACTGTTCAGGGTCATCCAGGGAAAGAGGAGAGATACATGGGCACACCTACACATACACACACACACACACACAGAGAAAGAGAGAGAGAGAGAGAGAGAGAGAGAGAGAGAGAGAGAGAGAGAGAGAGAGAGAGAGAAAATTGTCTCACCCAGTTAGGAAGACCAGAAAATTCCAAAGCTGATGGACTGCAGGATAAGCTGAAGGCCCTGGGAAGCTAATGGTACAGTTTCAATCCAAGCAAAAAGCAAAAGTCTGGATACCCAAGAGAAATAAAAGTGTAAGCTCTGGCTGAAGGCTGCCAGGTAGAAGCTCAGAAAGAGCCAGTGTTTCAGTGAGCGTCCCAAGGTTGACCAAAGCCAAGGTCCTGAGCTATCAGTCAGGAAGAATTCCTTCTTACTGAAAGGAGAGAAAAACCTTTTGTTGGCTTTCAATTGGTTGGATAAGACCCACTCACAGGAGGAAGAAAAATCAGCTTTACTCAGTTTACTGACGTGAATGCCTTTCTCATCGAGAAGAAGCCTCCTGCAGAGCTCCAGAAAAAGACTGGACATGGGGGCATCTCGCGGTCCACTTAAGTAGATACATGGTATTAACTTAGCCATAGTCCACTCCGATTGTTGTCCCTATCAAAAGAAAAATCTGAGCACTCAGACATCAGGGGTATGTGCATATAAAGACCACACGAGGACACATCAAAGGGACAAAGAGAAGGACTTCAGAAGACACGCACCTGCTGGCCACTTGAATTTCTGCTTTCAGAACTGTGAGAAAACGTGTTTGATGCTAAGACACCAAGCCTGTGGTATTTTGTTAGGTGGTGTTAGAAAACCAACACCGTGTCCTGCAAGATCAAGAGTAGGTACCCTCTGGAAGTGATCCTGCAGCCCAGTGCTCCTGGGCACATGTCTTCTTCACAATTATTTTGGCTTTTTCTTATGCATTGGTCCCATGAACACAAATGTGAAATGCTACCACCTTTTGGGGAAGAGGCAGGGGTCAGGGGTAGGGAGTTTCTCCTGTGGGATTTCAAGAAAAAAAGACCACTTGAATTACAAACACAGGGTGGGTGCTTGTTTGCGGGGTGTCCTGCAGCTTGGTCAGAGGACATGACTTCCCACTGGGGAAGTGGCACCTGGTAGATACTCCACAGAACCTTTGGGACTGCAATAACCCAAAGACGGTTTTCTGAAATGGTATCAGTTGGGTTTCCTACCCCTCCTGGGGTGTCCTTGGTACCATGGGGGATGCCTTGGTGTTTACTGCATCTTGTTGCTATAAGGTCCCATGAATTCTACCTGAGCCTGGGTTATAGGCACAGACCCTTTCGGTAAGAGCAACTCTAGGCAGACTGGTCAGTCACATGACCTGATTCTAGTGTCTTTCACCACATATGTGGTCTTGAATGAAGCTCTTCATCTAGGGTTATGGCTTCCTGCTTTTCAAGTGGTAACCCCCTCAGGCTCCGTAGCTGCCAGCTGCATGGGAGAGGAAGTAATTCCCCGTGGAACAAATTTCACCCTAAGCAAAGAGGAGATTCACTTCAGGTAGATAAAAGCCCTTTGTTTCTTCTGCAGATGTCTATGTTTCTTAGAATAGACCGTGTGGAGGCCTCTCACATGACTCACATGACTGAGTACGTGATATTAATTTCTGGAGGCCACTAGAACAAGGTGGCACAGAGTGGCTTTCAGCAGAAAATTACTCTCTCACGGGTCTTAGAGCTGAAATCTGGCAACAGTGCATGCACAGCACCAGACTTCATCTAGGTTCTAGGACAGTGGTTCTCAAAGTTCCCAACGCTGAGACCCTTTAATGCAGTTTCTCATGTTGTGGTGACCCCCCCCCCAAACCATACAATTATTTTCATTGCTGTGTCATAGCTATAATTTTGCTTCTGTTGTGAATCATAATGTAAGTATCTCATATGCAGGATATCTGATATGTGACCCCTATGAAAGGGTCATTCAGCCACCAAAGGGGTCATGACCCACAGGTTGAGAACCATTGTTCTAGCATGATTCAGTTTCTTGTCCCTTCCCTGTGCCAACACTGTCTCCTTTTCTGTCTGTCCATCTACCCTGTAGACCTCTTGACGTTGGATGGAGAGCCCACGTAAATATTCTGACGTTGGATGGAGCACCCACGTAAATATTCCAGATCAATCTCTTCATTACAAAATACTTAAGTCCAGCTGGAGGAAACTTTTGTCTAGATAGGATGTTACAGGAATTAGGATTAGAAGAGGCCACCATCCATCATCCCATTGCAGAAAGTCTTGCTGAACACTTACTCAATACCCCTCCCAGCTCTTCCCACACAGGAACACCTCCTCCTTGCCCCTCCTCCCACCCACTGAGTCACTAGCTCCCTGTCCAGAGTATGTAGTTCCCAAAGGAAACATCAAAACTCAATTCTTGCCTCTGCCTCCACTGCCAAAAAGAAGAGGGCTAAGACAATCCTTAACATAACTTGGCAGATCGGAAGTGATCTTGTAGCCTGTTCAAGCTGCTATTAGACTGAGTACCTTATTTTAAAAAATATCTCTCCTGGTTCTAGAGGCTAGGAAGCCCAAGGCCACAACACTAGAAGATTTGGCAGCTAGAGAAGACCTATTCATAAACCATGCCTTCCATCCCTGCTTGCACAATAGGCGCATGCTATCTCTTCATGGCCTTGAGAAAGAGCATATTCTCAAAGGGCCGCACCCTCTTGACATAGCCACCTGTTCAGGGTGTCACACATCACCCCAAGGGTTAGGGTTTTACCATATGAATTTACAAGATCATAAAAAGATCACACCAATCGTGCATGCACAGCCTCGGCTCTAGCATCAGAGGGATCTAAATTTAAGTATAGGCTCCGCCAGCTAGTATCTATGTGACCTTGGACAGGTCATTTCTTTATTAACGCGAAGCCTCAGATTTTCCCCTTTAAACAAGAGTGGTAAGAATTTGTAGTTGTATGGATGTTACAAAGATTAATAAAAATGCTTAGCAAAAATACACGATATGCCACAGGTACCAAGTATGTATTTTCTATTATGACTAATATCTGAGTAGATATGTCCTCTAGGAGTCTGCTCTTACAGGTAATGAACTAAGTATCGTGGGATTCTGGACAGTGTGCATGGCAGCCACCAACAAGCTGGCTTCGCTCCCTCAGTCTGGTCAGGAGGCCACCATTTCTTTTCAGCTCCCATTGTGGGCATTTGAAAAGAGCAGTGTAGACAGAGACTGCGCTTTCATTTCCCAGCTACTCAGGCCTGAATAACCACACAGAAACTATATTAGTTACAGCACTGTTTGGCCAAAGGCTCAGGTATATTCTTTGTTAGCTCTTACATCTTAAATCAACCCATTTCTATTAGTCTATGTATTGTCACGTGGCCATGGCGTTACCTCATTTTCTACATGTCTTGTACCTCTCACGCCCTCCCACTGCCCATCATCCATGTATGCAGATGCATGCATGCATACACATGCAAAATGTGAAATGCCACACCATGCCTCATTTAGACACTAGGGACAGGTGGTGAGGAAAGGAGGGTACCCCATCTTTAAATAGTGTATAGATTAGAAGAGAGAACGCTGTTCATGTTATTCTAATTAAATGTGCTTTAATTTCTGAAAGGAATGCTGTTGGGACATACAGGAGCCATGCAATCTACTTAATGGAACTTCACGCTTCTGCAAGAGCTGGATAAAGTCCTGCTCCCTCACTACCCAGCCCTCACTTCAAATCCATGAGGACAGACTACTTCCTTGGGTTTTGATATTCTACTAAACAATGCTGAAGAGAAGTTCTCTTGAGTTGTACTTGGAGCTAAGTAACTTGTGTGTACCTGCTTGGTGCTGGAAATAGATCCCAGGTGCTGTGAAGCTAAGGACTCGGGCACACTAGGTAAGTGCTCTCCACTGAGCTACACGCCAGCCCCGAAGTCTTTCTCCCCAGTGCCTCATCATTAAGTCCGTCATCTCCACTCTTGTTGCCATGCCGAATCTTCATGCCCATCTGTCTGTTTTCTTCTCAGCCCCATCACTCTCAGAAATTGCGTGTATTTCCTTATTTCCATGTTATCTCTTTCCATTAGGACATGCAATTTCTACCGGAACAAGTTACTCATATATCCTTGATTCTTGGCCATAAAGTAGTTATTGGGTCTTCAACCTATGTTTCGTCGCTGAGTTAATTACTGAATATAGTCACAGTCGTTTTGCTGTAGAAGGCTGAGGGAAGATGAAAACCGGAAATGCCACTTTGTGATTCCACTTAGGGGGCCCCCTCCCTCCGTCTTACTTCAGAGTGGTCTCTTTACTCCTGTGTCAGCTGTGTGGCTCTGGGGGCAATGGCGATCAGGTCACAGTCCTCTTCACAGCCTCCTCCCTCCAGCTTCTGTAGGGACATGCCTTGCTCCTCAGACACTGCCCATATTTGCTGAGATGAACTGAATATGTTTCCATGACAACACTGGAGTAGGAAGAAGGATGTGAGGCCCTGTATGATTTCCCTGTCCTCTCCGTTGAGAACTGTATGACAGACCGCGGAAGATTCCTCCTCAGAGCTCCCAGCACAGAGGTTCTGGGCACACTTCTGGTCCAGGATAGCTTTGGGAGAGAGACACTACTCTAACTCTAAGATGGCTGGGTCTCCGTGTCTGGCCTGAGTGATCCCATCCTGTAGAAGGTTTCAGTTCACCGTCCATGTGAGGATTGAGGTCCAAGTCATTGTGTTTCTTAAAAGATCATAGTCTTTATGGTATAGTGACTTTCTGGTCCCCTTCCATGGGCAGGGCTCACTGCTCCTACCAGATAGCATGGGCATTTAGTGGGAAGGCAACAGATGCGTCTTTGTGGGGATGCCACCAATGCGTGGGAGCTTCCTGTCTGGCTTGATCCTTGACTTCTCACAAGTCCCTTTAGCTGTTTAAAAACACACACACACACACACAAAGCGAGGGAACTTCACAAACTCCTGCACTGATAAAGGAGACACAGCAGCAAAAGGTTTCCTTGGAGCTTGCAAAATATTGGCTTGCTGCCATCAGAAAACCCAGAGGACCTAAAGAGAGAAAGTCAGCTCCTATGTACATCAGATGCTGGCCTCTAGGAGGCAAAGAATCTCCCTGGAACAATAGGGCAGGGAGGCATGGATAGTGGGACAGTCAGGGAACCCTGGGTTCCTCTCTCAGGGGCCCAGCCATAGTACTGGGAGCTGGCTCTGTTTCCCCACTTTCCCAAGAGCACAGATTTTAAAAAGGCAGACTCCATTTCTAGCCTGACAGAGAAGGCAGATGCCATAGGCTGTGACTTCATGGCATCTAGATGTCACCTCCCTTCTTTGTGATAGTCCCCTGTCCCCTGAATTTTCTTCATTAACAGGATTACTAGAAGCCTTACGGGACTGGCCTTTGAGAGAATAGGCTCAGTTGCAGCTTCCAAGAAGGATGAAAAATTCACTTAAAAAAAAGTCTACAAGATTTCTCTGTAAAGGGCCAGATAGACAGCCAGGTTGTGTGAACCCCAGCCACTTATGCACCTGTCCTCTCTGTAGCTTTGTGACAAGGGGGTAAGGGGCACCGTCCCCTCTGTAGCAACCAGAGTTACAGGGAAGGAACAGACAGACGGATGGGATGGCAGGAGGAACGGCTGCCTGCCTGCCACCCTTTTGTACAAATGCTGCAAGCAGCTGGATTTGGCCAGGAGCTGCAATTTGCCAATGAGCTCGGGCTTCCCCTTGCCGCCTCTTTCCCCCCAGGGCCCTGCACAGTGAAGAAGTGTCGAAATGTTATTTGTTGACATACTTTGCAGCAGCTAACAGTTCAAGAGGACCAGACTGGTGGGTGACAGGCTTCTCAGAGACCAGAGCAGGTGGAGAGAGGACAGCAGGCCTGAAAATAGAAAAGACAGTTCTCCAGCCTCAAACCTGCCACCTCAGCTCCTCTAACCAAACGAATCTCATTGGTTGTGGCCACAAATCCCCCAAGTCCCAACTCATCGAGATTGCCTGGTCCCCTCTCGTGAAGCTCACAGGAAGTCTGAGAGCACTGGGTGTCAGTGACAAGCAAGGAACACACAGCATGGCCGCTCTTCCAGCGTTGACACTTACTTCCTTGTGTCCGTTCACTCTAGAAAGCTCCTCTCTCTTGCCGTTTCAGGGGGTGAGCCAGGGTTGCTGTCTAGACTTTACTGTCACTGTCACTGTCTAGGGTCATCTGTCTTTGACAGATGAACTGTCAAAGCCCGTACATAAGCTGTTCTTTTAAAAAGTCAGCTTCATTGAACTAAGTCCTAATTACCTCCTTTCTTCCCTCACGGCAGTGACATATCTCTGGCAGCTATGGACTCTAAGAGCCATTCTAGTAACCCCTTTCAAGACAGAAGAAGCCAGGATGGTGGTGATTGCAGCGTGACTCGGCGGTGATAACGACTGCTCTACTTCAACTATGTTTGAACTCTCTCGTCTTGGCTAACGAGAGGCTGAAATAAAAAGGCCTCTGTAGTATACACTCTTGGCCACTCCAGACATCTGGGGACTCTGCATCAGTCAGGATAGGCAAGGTTGTGCCACGATAACAAATTTCAATTTCTTAATACAACCCAAGTTTATTTCTGGTTCACGTCCCATGTCCAGTGTGGATCAACACGCAAGCTCCTCTCACGGAGGTTATTGAGGGTTCTAGTTTATGCTGGCTTCATCATAGTATAGGCCTTGTGGGTTATCTTGTTAGGGGAAAGGGCATGGATAATCTTGTTCTGCCTTCTAAAGTCTGTTTGGGGACTGTTTACCTTCCATTGACCAAACAAGTATCACGCCACATGGGTGGGGCGATCTACCCAGCTATGTGCAGGGCGGGATGAAAGGACTGTGAGCAAGCCTAATGCTTCTGCAAGACCTGAATGAGGTCAGAGGTCAGGGGCCTCATAGAGAAGACACCCATGGGAGTTCATGTGAATATTCTACACAGTGAGTGGAGGAAGGGTTATTCATTTAAAGGTTGTACCCAATTCTAGTTCCAAGCGTGCTCTTTATTCTTGCTCTGTGTCCCCCTGTCACAGGTTTCCACTGCCACAGATGGGGCCCCTCCGGTTTTCCTTCCTTGTTATAGTGAAGTACAACCCTCTGACACTGTGACCAACATAAACACCACCTTCTTCACGCTCCTTCCCCTAGGCCAGTTGTCACAGCGATGAGACAACACACTCATATCAAGCCACCCTCTGAAGCCCTACTGCCTGTAGCAGTCACACACGCTAGGATTTGGGGGTCACACACATCTAATTCCCACACCCTCTTCTGCGTGTCACCGATCCCCTTGTGCTCATCTGGGCAGTTGTAGCTCAAGGATACAGGGGAGAGGCCTGGCCCAGCCACACTGAAGGCCAGGTCCTGGCCTCCAGCTCACTACTCCCTTCAGACCCTTCCCGCCTTAGCATGGCTTCCTGTCCTGACACTGGCTTCCTCTACTCGGACACACAGTGTGGTCTGGGTCTGCTCTCAGGGCTCAGCAGCGCAGAGCAAATGGTCCCCCAGGAGAGCCTAACATAGGTGACCCATGGGAGGAAAGGGGCAGTAGTACCCGAGACCAGAGGAGGGGTCAGAGCAGGCCTGCGTTTCCCATGAGGAGAGAAGCCAGAGACTTAGTATTTCTGCTCTTGTTTTTATCCTACCAGGCCATGAAGGCTGACCTGCCCTGCAGACACATAGACACACATGTCACAAGGTATTCAGTGCCCAATCCTTTCTTGGTATACAATAGGTCCCTATTAAATGTTTGGGGGGAAAGTGAGTATGTATATTTAAAGAATAGTTCCATTGTCTCCTTTCCATCCCCATAAGGGTGATAAGAATTTGACCACAAAGCAAGCTACTGACATGTGAAAAAGTCGATTAACCAAAGGGAAGGTGGAGGCTTTTGTTCTGTGAACAACCAAGTGACTATCCATTCAGAACTGGATTGAGGCCTGGGGCGAGTTTGCCTTTGGATTCCAATTAGAGAATTAGTTTTTAATATTCTGTCATAAATGCTGAGAATAGAGAGACTTTACAGCACTGTGATCTACATTTATCTATCTGCCTGCCTATCTATCTATCTATCTATCTATCTATCTATCTATCTATCTATTTATATATATATATATATCTATCTTTCTATCCATCTATCTATCGAAACAGGTGCTCACTCTGCATCCTAGACTGCTCTAGAACTCACTATGTAGTACGGTCTGGCTTACAAACTCATGGTAGCCCTACTGCCTTGGCCTCCCACGTGATGGAATTGCAGATGTGAGCTTCCACATCCTGCCATAACACTTTAAATGCTTGTGAAAGCCTGGGCAGAATGAGTGTGTGGCCTGCTTGCAACACAGGGTATTAAAGGCGGTCTATCCAAAAAGTTCAGCTATACAAAATGAGTAGGGCGAAGTTGCTCTGGTCCCTTGTCCCTTTCAGTGGAAGGACACATTCACCTGTGTCTGTATGTAACATGATACACGTTAGAGTTCGATGAGTGTAAAGGATTTTGATGACATCACAGTGATGGGGCAAAGGCTGAAGGCAAGTCAAATTCAAACCAACATTTGTACCCTAATCTCTCGCTCCCTTCCCACTTTTCTTCCTGACAGACACGTGATGAAGTGAAGACATGTAGAGATCTGACCCGCCTTCAGGAAAGACCTCGGCCTCTCACCCATCCTCAAATAAACAGAAAGGAGGGCAAAAGGCAGGGCTGACGGCACATCCAGGACTCTGTCGTCTCTGTCCATCGGCTTTGTTTCTCCAATCCTGTCATCTGCTGCACCTTCTCTGACGTCAGCAAATCCCACAATTGGTGAATCTCTGCGCATGTGTACATGTGAGAAGCTTGGCTTCCCCAAAAACACGTTAGTGGAGTTGGGAGGTGGGCCTTTTAGAACTGATTAGCATTAGATGAGATTGCAAGACTGGCCCCCATGATGACTCTGGGCCTGAATAAGAGGAAGGAGAGCGACCTCCCAACCTGACCACTTGCTTGCTCATCTCAGTGTGGAACAGCACATCAAGAAGTCCTTTGCCAGCTGTTGGGGCAGATGTCAACATCCTGATAGACTCCCTAGTCTCCAGAACTCTAGAACTCCAGCCAACAAGATGGCTCAGAGGGTAAAGTTGCTTGACATTAAGTTTGATGACCAGAGTTCAATCCCCAGGAACCACATGGTGGAGAGAGAGACTGGATTGTTGCAGATTGTCTTTTGATCCCCACCCATGCCTTGTGATGCTCTCCCCTTAAAAGAAAGAAAATGAAAGAAAGGCAAAGAAAAGAAAGAGAGAGAATAGGGAGGGAGAAAGAAAGGAAGGAAGGAAGAAGGGAAGGGTAGAAGGAAAGGAGGAAGGAAAGCAATCAATCAATAAATATAAGAAAAGTTGGATTAACCCTGCTTTCCAGCCTTGCATACTTCAAAAGCCCTTCTTCACGTGCGTAAAATCTTACAAAATATGACGCTCGACCCCAGAGATATTTCCATTCACATGCATCCACAAAGCACATGAGCACTCATGCCCATCGGATTTATGGTTTCAGTTCTTGTTCCCGAGGAGCAGGGGGTCTCACAGAGAACAAGCAGCTAAGGGAGCCTCAATTACACAACAAAGTGGGGGAACTATTTATCCTGAAGGTTGGCTGCCACGTGTACTTTGAAGAAGTGACCCACTTCCCCTCATAAGCTGACCTCATGGTTCCAGGAACCAAGGTGGATGTGGGAGAGGCTTCTCTCAGAATTATACCTAACAGCCCCTTCCTGAATGCTGGCTGTCTGTCCCACACTGGGTCTCTTTGGGCTCGGAGGTCTGTTTTCAGAATAGAGAAATGTCTCCAGGATGTGACAGGGAAGTCGCCTTTCTGATGTGAAAGCGGAGACAGCCACTCGGCCACTTAGGGCTTCTGATTCCTAAGAACTAGCAGATAGAGAAGGGGGTGCCGGCTGGTCCCGATTCGTAAAAGAGAACATAGTTCTTCTTTACACGCACTACACCTGGGACCCAAGGGGTTCTCTGACGTCTTTTGAGGTAGAAGGAAAGAGAAAATGTTATCGTCTACTGCCGCAGCCCAAGGCTACTGTATTAGGTGAGCAGAAAGTGCCGTACTGAGTATCGTCTGAGTAGTCAAAGGGAAAGTTGGTAAGTTTTAAGCTATTTCCTCCTGGTTCCAAAGCCACCATCCTGCATTCAGTGCAGCCGTCTCTGTCCACCACTGGTTCTCCACTAAGTGAGTGCTCTTCCCCTGGTAGTCAACAGCGCCCACCTACCTGCACGGTCAGCAACCACAGAGACACATTCGCGGAACCGCATAAGGCTCTGCACCAAGTGCCAGGTTTGACGGTACTAATCTTGTCCCCGCAGTTAAAGTGCTGGTTAGTTCGGTGGCACAGTTTTGTCCCTTCAGCCCCTCTCTGGTCCATGTCGTTGATTTCCCAGATTAAATCTCCTCCGCTGAAACAACAGCATGGTGTTTGTTTCCCTGGCCTGTGACCCAATGATGCGGAAAGGACATTTACGATCGCCTCGCTTGCCGTTTCTACCACTTTTACTGAAGTTTTCGCCAAGACCTCCAGTCTCAGATAGCAGGGAGGCCGTATTTTGAAAAAAATACAAAGCAAAACTTTAGTTTTTCAAATGCCTTCATGCACATAGGAGTGGGAGATTTTCCAGCGAGGATCTTCTGCAAAACGGATTCGTTTTATTTAAAGGCTTCCCTCTTTGTATTTGGAGGTTAAATAAATGATAGAATTCATTATTCCAGCAAACAAATCATTTCACTTATTTTGGGTAAATTGCACTAAATGTGGTTTAATTACTGTGTCCAGAATAGCATTTCACATCTGTGGCCCCAGAAGCCGTTATAGCTCTGAACATCCAGAGGAAAAGAAACGGAGCCCTCTTGTGGCCGATTTAAATACTACAGCCCTTGCTCCAAAGACCCCTTAGGGAATGCTACCTTGAGAGACAGGGTCTGCAGTCCATGCTCCTTAGCAGGCTGCAGATACAGCATAAAAACACTAATACGCTGTACTCAAGGTTGCTGCTCAATGCCAAATTTTAGGTGAAAGTCTAGGGAGTGGAGGGAATATGAGTCTGGGTGGTATACAAGGTGAAAGAGAAATCCAAATCCCTGTGTTGTGAGAAGTCTTAACACAAGCCTTTCTTTCCCCGGGTCCATACACAGGTGAGGCCCTCCAGGTACAGAAACAAGGGGAACGCACTGAATTCAGCAAGTTATTGACAGGCGGCGGCGGAGGAAATCTGCACATTACTGCCGTATTGTCGTCTGTGGCAAAAGACTAGAGTCCAGAGGCCCGGGGGCAAGCAAGGACACCGAGGGGAAGGTATGTGAACTTGGGATGCAGTGGCACAGAGTTTGGACACCAGTCGAGCACATTCCTAGCTGTGTGACTGTGGGCAAACCGTTTAGTAACCTCCATCTCTCGGCCTTCTCTGGAAAATGAAATAGCATAATCTCATTCAAAGCAACTTATAGGAGCAGCTGTGAACACAAGCTGCTGAGCCAAGCTGGGTGGCTTCAAGGGGTGACTCTACCATGACCTATGTGTGGTGAGTTTCTTATCTTCTCAGGCATTGAAGGCTTGTTTGGAAGATTAAATGACCTCCCCGATACTTCTCCCTCTCCCCAACCTCCTCTCTCTCTCTCTCTCTCTCTCTCTCTCTCTCTCTCTCTCTCTACACACACACACACACACAGACGTCCAGGCATTGTGGGAGAAAATGTCATTGTATCTCTATTTAAAGAGTCTCCAGAGATTTTGTAAATGGTAAATGTGAAGTAAATGATAGCTTTAGTATTGGTTGTCAATCATCATGGGAAACGTACTTCTCTTTTTCCTGCCCACTTCTTTTCTACTCGTCAAATCATATGAAATTGCCATTTCAATAGGTCAAAAAGTACTAGAATGTGACAATTCCTCAGACAAGCCTAATGCAAACCAATGCTTGCCACCACTAAGGAGTGTTGGTCGAGGCCTCAGACAAGGGAGAAAATGGAGCTGTATTCATGCCTCTGGACCCAGGGACTGATGGAGTGTGTCTCCTCTCCTGCCTGTGAGGACCAACACTCCGGGTAGTCTTAGCAGGACTTGATCCCCAGCTCTCGGTACTGGCTTCGGGAGGTGTTGCCTGGGGATCTGTGCCAATTAGACTCTATCTGAAGCCTCGGGCCCCATTACAGGGAGTTCAATGGGGAGAATTTGGTATAGAATTAGAAAAGATTAAAAATTTATAGCCGGGCATTAGTGGCCCCCACCTTTAATCCCAGCACTCGGGAGGCAGAGGCAGATGGATCTCTGTGAGTTTGAAGCCAGCCTGGTCTACAGAGTGACTTCAGGACAGTCAGGGCTACATAGAAAACCCTCTCTCACAAAACAACATAAAAGAAGAACGTGCATGGGGGTGGCTGCAACCAAGGATACAGAGAATAGGCAGAATCATTGGGTAGAGCCAGGGCCACCAAGAGGAGAGGGAATAGGGTGAGCCCGCCCTCCTGGAGCAGAGAGAAGAGAGGGGAAGTCTCTGCCTGCCCATCTGCCTCCTGCCTCCAGCTCCAGCTCCAAGTCTCCACCCATGGTGGCCTTCTCTAACACCCTCCAGTTCAGTTCCACACACAGCTTTGTATTTCTTCCCGGTAGTTACAACAGTACTATCAGCCCTCTGTACCTTGCACGCTCAGTGTTGTAGTTAATCCAAGGCATCCGTTTTTTCAGCATGGGGTAGGAGGATGTGTGGCTAGCTAGCCTTCCTCTGACCTCTTTGCCATAATGGCTTCCCCAGCACTGGATTAGGACAAGAAAAAGGGACCGCTGTTATGGTTAGGGTATTTACCTCCATAAATGGTGGACTGACTGTTTGTGCTCCCAAAATTCATGTGCTGAGATCCTGACCCCCAATCTGGTATTATTAAAAAGTGGGTCATCAGGAACTAACGAGGGCCTAAGCATCTTGGAAATAAGGACGTGGGAGCTGGTTCCATGTAAATTGATTGCCCTTCCAGCGTGAGGACCTAGGTTTGGATCCCCAGTATCCATGTAAAAGCTGGGAGCAGTTGCTCCTGTAGGTAATCCCAGTCCTTGGGGAGGCAGAGACAGGTGGATTCCCAGAGACTGCTGGACCGCCAATCTCTCCCAGTCAGTAAGTAAGTAAGTGAGGTTCAGTGAAGAGATCTTATCTCCAAACTAAGGTGCAGAGCAGTTGAGGAAGACAATAGGTTATCAAACGCTGGTCCTCACACACAAGTGCACACACATACTTACACACGATAAAAATAAAGGGGTGCTCTCTTCACAGCCTTCTGTAGCAGGAAGACACCACAGAGGAGGAGGAGCCTACAGCCCAAGGTCTCAAGGGAACCTGGCCACACCCCATCTTGTACTTCTAACCTCCAGGACAGGAGGAAGTAATTGTTAGTAATTCTTTTTAGGCCACTTAATTGGTGGCAATTTGGCCCTAGGTACTGAAGAAGCTTCTCACACCAGGGTATCAGCTCAGTCCTGTGTAACTTCCAAGGTAGGGAAGGAACTCAGGACACACTGGCAAGCGCAGGAGCGCATGTGCTTGCACGCACGCGCGCGCGCGTGCGCGCGTGCGCGCGCGCGCACACACACACACACACACACACACACACCAGCCATCAAGAAAAAAGCTGCCCCCTCTGTATGCCTGACCTCCCTATGTCTGGTCCCTGAGGACATTCTCTTTGAAGTGGAAAGCAGATACATCTATCTGCCCCACCTTGATGCTCCTTTGAAATGCTGTATTCTCATAAAACAAGAGAGGCAGGGAGTTTGGAAGGCAAATTTCCAGGGGCTGCTTAAAAGCTCCATCCATACAAATCCAGACGTGGAAAGAGGGTCTGTCTTCAGAGTACTTGGCCAAACTTGTCCAAGGCAACTGCTTCGTGGTAGCCATACGAGGGTTCTCCAGAGAGCATCCCTTCGGCCTCATGCCTAGGCGCTCTGCACCTCTGCCTGTCCCTCGGGTGTGTAGAACAAGTCCTTCCTACAGCACCATGTGGCTCTGCTCTGTCTGCTCTTCCTGGGGATTTAACTAGAAGGGAACAGGGGAAGCTAAGAGGTGGGGAAGCTCTCTCCAGTCCAGTCAAGGCCGTGGACATTCACGGCCCTGAACATCTTGTCATAAACAGTTACCGGAAACCCACCAAATGTCGAACATAACTAAACGTGGGAAGTAACTGTTGGGAAATGACCACGCTGTCACCAGGGTTCTGCCTCTCGGGAGCTCTGGCAGTGGAGACAAACAAGGGACGCTTAGGTGACCTGTGCCGCCTCGGGCCAGTGAGGTGACCCAGCGGATAAAGGCGTTTGTTCCCAAGCCTGACAGCATGGCAGTGGAAAAAGAGAACTCCTGAAAGTGGGCCTCTCATTTCCACAAATGTGCTAAGGCATGTCCTGGACCACACCAACAACCAGACACCCGCACACCTAACCATACACACACATATACCCATATACACACCCATACACCCGCACACCTACCCATACACACACACACACACTCACACACCCGCACACCTACCATACACACACACATATCCATGTACACACCTCTACACCTGCACACATACCCATACACACACCCCGACACACATCTACCCCCACACAATACACTCATGCACACATACATACACATGCCCATACACACACATATACACCCCCACACACTCCCACACCCCCATGTATATCCACAGACACACCCATACCCATATACATACACACATGCACACACGCACACACTCAAACTCTCAATAAATGTAATTTTTAAAAATATAAAAGAGTTTCGAAATGTTCCTCTTTTCTCCTAGGAGGCCTTCCCTTGTTCCGCCCAAGTGCCACGAAAAGGCTACAGAAGGGAATTGCTGTGTGAGCTGTGGTCTGGGGATGAGAAACCAAGAGGTACAGGTGCCTCCAAGCAAACACAGCAACAGTACCAAGCCTGGAGCGGTGAGGGTCCGCAAGGGTGCTGTCAGACTGAGCATGGTCAGGGTCACAGGCCTCCTCGAGAGCAATTTCCCCGGGAACCACATCTACACATGTACAGAACAAGCAGACATGTCCACAGGACAGCCAGCCAAAACCCTGCCGGCTCTGAGAGCACCGCCTTCCCGAGTCTTCCCCACGACCACGCTGGTATTATAGTAAGCATTTACTCGTGGGCAAAGCATGGGCAAGCCCAATTTAGCCCTCCCCGCTACCCCAGAAATCTGCACTGTGTGTGTGCACCCCATCTTACACAGGAGGAGGGAACCTTAGCCATCGAAATAACCGCAGTAAATAAGTACAGAGCCCATCATAGTCCAGGGAATGACTAAACCGTACATCCTTAACCATGGCTGACAAGAGCACTGTGAGACACGGTTGTCCACGAGAGGCTGTGTGATGTCACTTTGGTGGCCTCAGGACCCTTGCTCATCAGAATCACTTACTTTTGCCGAATATTATCGTAAGCTGAAAAGAAACTTTACCATCTGTCTACAATTGACTAAATGCTATTTGGGAGAGGGGCTCTCAGCCCTCGCTAAGTCACTAGCCCTGGTAAGTTATTCCTGGTCCCAGCTGGGCCCCACACACAGATTTCTCCTTTTCACAGAAGATCCACCTTTTACCTCCTTCAGATGATGGCGCACCAGTTCTGTGCTTATGTTTCTGACCTTGGGCACTGGTATTTTTGTCAACCATGAGGGACAAGCTGTAAATCAGTGGTTCTCGTCTTCCTAATGCTGCAAACTTTTAATATGGTTCCTCCTGCTGTGGTGACCCCCGGTCATAAAGTTATTTTTGCTGCAACTTCATAGCTGTAATTTTACAACTGTTATGACTCGTAATACAAATATGTGATAAGCGGCCCCCAAAAGGGTCACAACCCACAGGTTGAGAACCGATGTTCTCAACTAAACACAGGCAAGTTTTACTAAGAGCCTTGTGCTAGTTAGCGCCAGGGTTCAGCTCTACTGTGAGGTACATCTGGAATGTTCTCCCCAAAGTTCATATGTTAAGGGCCTGCCTCCCAGCTTGGGAATCTTGAGAAGAACTAGAAACCGTCAGGCCTTAGGACCTGGTGGGAGGCTCTTGGGAGGGTTCAGATGTGAACCATCCCTTGCAAGCTCGGGAGTTTGACTCCCAGCTGGTGGTGCTGATGTGAGAGGTGACAGATTCTCCAGGGGATGAACCTAGTACTACAGGCCAGCTGCTGGGAGCTGAGCAAGAGGGTTAGCTCTTCTGTCTACTCTCAACTTGTTGATCTACCAGCCACACCCTAGGCTTCCACAGCCATTCCTTCATTGTAAGCCAAGATTAATCCCCACCCCCCGCCCAAGTTGCTTTCATCAGATATTTTGCACACATAGATGCAACAGTAACTTACGCATGGGCTCATGACAGGTAGAGTGTGCTCTCCCAGGGTCTATTCCTCAGTCCTTTACTTCCTGGGCATGTGGTGAGCAGTTTGACTTCATAGTGATGTCCCACGTTGCCACAGGCAACAGGACTAACTCAATGTGAACAGGAACATCCAGAAACATAAGCCAAAATAAGCCTGTCTCTTTGTAAGTTGATTATCTCAGCTCTTTGCTGTAATTAACTAACATAAGCCCCAAACAATAAACCTCCTCTAAACAGATATTTGTAGGAATTAGGGGGTCTTGTTTACTTCTGTCACAAAGAATCTGGCAGTTGGAGATCCAGAAAGAGGATGGTGACCCACAGTGTAGCAGACACTCAGAATCCTTGCATATTTCTGCTAATTCTTTCTTAAACAGCACCTGGTCTCTCGTGAACACTAGAACGCTGCGAGGGCTCCAGCCATCACATCTAAGTCCCAGACACAAGAGTGGGAAGAACAAGGTCTAAACAGTTGCCTCATGAACTGACACCCTCTCATGCACACTAAAGGTAGTTCGTCTGGGAAGTTCCACATGACTTCTACATAGATCACTAAACAAAATTCCATCATGCCTAACAGCAAAGGAAGCTAGGAAATCTCAGATTGTTGTGGTATTTTTTTTTTGTTTCTTTTAATTGTTTGTATTGAGCTATATATTTTTCTCTGCTCCCCTTCTTTCCTCTTCCCTCCCCTTTAACCCTCTTCCATGGTCCCCATGCTCCAAATTTACTCAGAAGATCTTGTCCTTTTCTACTTCCCATGTAGATTAGATCCATGGATGCCTCTCTTAGGGTCTTCTTTATTGCCTGGGTTGTCTGTGATTGTTAATTGTGGGCTAATTATCTTTGCTTTATGTCTAAATGCCACTTATGAGTGAATACATATAATATTTGTCTTTCTGGGTCTGGGTTACCTCACTCAATATGATGTTTTCTAGATCCATCCATTTGCCTGCAAATTTCAAGATGCCATTATTTTTTTCTGCTGTGTAGTACTCCATTGTGTAAATGTACCACATTTTCCTTATCCATTCTTTGGTTGAGAAACAATTAGGTTGTTTCCAAGTTCTGGTTATGACAAATAATGCTGCTATGAACATAGTTGAGCACATGATCTTGTGGTAAAATTGAGCATCCTTTGGATATATACCCAAAAGTGGTATTGCTGGGTCTTGAAGAAGGTTGTTTCCTACATTTCTGAGAAATGACCACACTGACATCCAAAAGCTTGCACTCCCACCAGCAAGGCAGAAATGTTCCCTTTTCCCCCACAAGCTCTCCAGCATAAGTTGTCATCAGTGTTTTTGATCTTGGCCATTCTTACAGGTGTGTAAGATGGAATCTCAGAGTTGTTTTGATTTGCATTCTTCTGATGTTAAGAGTGTTGAGCATTTCCTTAAGTGTCTTTCAGCCATTTTAAACCCTTGAGAGTTCTCTGTTTAGGTTTGTACTCCATTTTTTTTATTAGATTACTTGTTCTTTTGATGACCATTTCCTTGAGTTCTTTGTATATTTTGGAGATCAGTCCTCTGTCTGATGTGGGGTTGGTGAAGATCTTTTCCTATTCTGTAGGCTGCTGTTTTGTCTTGTTGACCATGTCCTTTGCTTTACAGAAGCTTATAGATGCCCTGGCCGAAGACCCAGGTTTGGATCCTAGTGCTTACATCAGGGAGTTTACAGCTGCCTGTGACTCCGATTCCAAAGAATTTTAGACACTCTTCTGGCTTCTGTGGGCACCAGACATGCATATGCATATGGTGCACAGGCAGGCAGGCAGGCAGGCAGACAGACAGACAGACAGACAGACAGATAGACACACACACACACACACACACACACGGTGCACCCCCCCCATATGATTAAAAAAAACTCCTCCATCTCCTCACCCTCATTCTCTCAAAAAAATAAAAGAAAGGAAACAAGATTAAATGCTTTAATGACAGAGAATGATCAAGGATTTATCCCCCGCCAACAGTGAGTCTGGAACGTCCTCTTTATACTCTTTCCTGTTCCTGACCCTCTCCTGGCTCTCACTCTGCCCTTGATAAGCACACAGTCTTTTAACAGGTAAGGGCGTATTCACATCTTGGGATAAGAGGGAAAGCAGTTCTGATCCGCCTTGTAAAGTTAGCAGACAGAAAAGGGGACTCTTGGTTTAAAGGGCACCCCCATCCTAACCACCATCAAAGTCTCATCCGCCTTTGAATTAGAGGTTAAACCCTCAAACCATGGCTTTCATTGTCCTGCCAAGGGCTTAGCATATAGACTCGGTAGTTTTGATAATTCAGCTATTTCAAGACGGAGTATTTTTTACTGAGTTTAGCAGAAAACTTGGAGTTGAAAAACAAAAAAACAAAAACTCCTTTGAAACCATTCGTTCAAGCATTCGTTTGTTTGTTGGTGGGTTCATTCGTTTTACCGAAGCAGCAGCATTTTCTCCTTCCGGGGGAATAGTTCAGGTAGTAATACTTGCCACCTCTTCTGAAACTTGTAAGCTCTGTCATATGAGAAGCAATTGGGCATCCACGTGCAGTCCAGAGAGACCAGAGTGTGCGCATTCATAGTCTTGATCTCACATAACTGGGGCCCCCACGGTACCGCACAAAGAGAGTCAAGGCAAGAGGGGTGCCCTTTCTTGGAAAATGTAAAATCTGGGTCCTGAAAGACCACCCTGCAGGGGCATGGGGCCACGCCTGCAGGTCAAGCCTTACTTAAAACCGACCGGACGACGTCAGTATTCAGTCTTGACCTTGACAATGAGCAGTGGGTCACGGATAAACTCAACTTCAAAGAAAAAAAACCCCAACTAGCAATCAAGCCGTCCCTGCACTCAGAGAGAGCATACCAACCAACCAGGAAGAAGAAATCCAGGTGACCCTAGTCTAGTAGAGCAGCAATGTCAATGTCAGACACTAGGTGGCGATGTTAGCTGAAGGAAAAAGCACACAAACCTGCTGTGTAAACACCAGGAAATCAATTTTATGGGGCGGGGGAGGGCAGAAGACGTTGAGTGGCACAATATACTTTTAATTGTATCCTTTCTTTACAACGAGCAATAAAACTATCTTTTGTTAGCGGTGAATATCTTATTACAACAAAGGTGAGTTGGAATTACTAGAGGGAGAGAGCCCTGGTCTTTGTAGTGAAGCTCTTCCGGCAGGGCCAGTAACAGCCTTGCACCCAGACGCCTGGGAGTCCTATGTGTGTTCAACCAACTCCCAGCAGCATCGACTACCACTCAACTCCACAGTCTCGGAGGAGAAACTCGCAAAGTGGGAGCGATTGACAGCCTTAACCCCTCAAATTGCCGAGGCTGGACCTTGATAGGAATGGCTGCCTCTCCCTCCAGCCGGGTTAGGATACAAAGAAAACTAAGCTCCGAGAATATACGAAGTCACGATAATGCCAGGTATCAGCAACAAAATTTCAAAGGCAACAACAAACTTAAGGCGGGAGTTGACGTCTCAAAGACAGACTCTCATTAGCGCAAGAATTAGCACAAAGCAGGCAGAGGAGAAAGGAGACAAGAGCCGGCCAGCTCTGAGGCGGTCAAATATCAATGGCATTTATTGTGATATACAGGAGTGGGGTCTTCTGAAAACGCTGATGCAAGGTTAGGAGGAAAGCGGTCTTAGACCTGAAAATACTTCTGGGAAAGAAGGGTTCAGTCACATCTGGTTTCCAAATACTGCTCACAGATACAGCTCGGACCTGTGACGGAGCTTTCTCTGGTCTGCGGTGAAAACGAAAGGGAAGAGATGGCTCGGCAGTCAAGAGCGCTTACTGCTTTCTCCGATGACGTGGGTTCAGTCCCAACACCCACGTCAGGTGGCTCACAACTGTTTATAACCCAAGCTCCAGGGAAGCCAATGCCCTCTTCAGCACCTGCCTGAGCTGGTGTATGTAAACTTATGGAGACGCACATAGAAACAAATAAATAAATGAATGACTATTTCAAAGTGCAAGAACTTATTTTTGTTGTTGTTGTTGTTCTTAGATTTTGGCTCAAGCTTTACTATATAGCCAAGGATGGCCATGAACTTAGGACCCTACTGCCTCTGTCTCTCAAGTGCTGGGATATCAGGCGTTCACCACAATGCCCACCTCATGAGGTTCTGGGTGTCGAACTCATGTCTTTCATGCTGGCTGGGCAAACTCTTTACCAGGTGAACTATATGCTCAACTGTAGAGATCTTACTTTTATTTTCACGTTAATCTCTCCTACCTTGTTACAATAGAAACAGTCCTTTTTAAAAAATCTTAAGCCTTCTACGGTGTGGTCAGTAGAACTGTATGTGTGTTTGTTTGGTTGTTAAACCTTGTCACCACAATCAGTCTTGATTGTCAACTTGACTGGATTTGTAACTGACTGGGAGACATACCTCAAGACTGTGTGCCTCCAGGGATCTTTTTTTTTTAAATATTTTTCTGGTTTATTTAACTTTATTTTATGTGCATTGGTGTGAATGTGTCAGATCCCCTGCAACTGGATCTTCAGACAGTTGTGAGCTGCCATGTGGGTGCTGGGAATTGAACCCGGGTCCTCTGGAAGAGCAGTCAGTGCTCTTAACCACTGAGCCGTATCTCCAGCCCCTCCAGGGATCTTTAACTGAGGAGGAAGGCTATCTTTGAACATGGGCAGCACCATCTCATGGACTGGTGCCCAGCCTGAATAAAAATGGGGACAGGAGAGACTGAGCCAAACACCTGCACTCTTTGCTCTTTGCTTCTTTCCTGGGTACACGGCATGATGGCTACCTGATGCTCCCGCCACCACTGTGACTTCTCAGCTGTGAGGGACTGTGCCCCCTCAAACCACGAGACAAAAGAAACCCTTCTTCCAGGTCACAATAAATAGAGGGATCATTAATATTGATATTAATGATATTAATTATGCAATATTGGTACCAATTAATTATTAATAATAATAGACCTTGCTTGGTAAACCCTAAGCTAGTATTATTATGTATATTATATTGAAATATTTCTTCCCTGGGTAATATAAAAGTCTGGAAAATAGACTACTAAACAGTCCACTGAAGAGAGAATTAACCAGCCAGGTGTCAGTGGCCCTATTCAAGGATCGAATGTCTGTAGCGCCCCTCCAGTGGCCCCGCTTTTCACTGACCACTGTGGCGAGGAGTTAGCAGGACACTGACTTCTAGAACTATCCAGCAGGGAGGTACAGGGAAAGCAGGAGTCTAAGGAACACTGTGCAAAGGGAAGAGTGTGTTCAAGATGACGTTATCGTATGCTTGGAGCTGTGCATTTGATACTTTTTGACATTTTATATAAAATTTATCACTTTATATAAAATCTAGCTTGGGTGAACAGGATGCGTCTTTCCTATAAAACTCAACTGTGAGTGTCTGTCACTATTGAGCTGCTTTTATAAAAGAAGAAAAAACAACAAAAGCCATGTATCCATCTCCAACTCAGCCAGTGTGTAGTGCGGTTCCTGCCCCAGACACGTGGCTGGCTCTCTCTGTGTAATGTACCATAAAAGGGACCTGCAAGGATGGAGCCTCGGAGGTTATCACAGGTAATAGCTCTTAAACATCTCGGAGAAAGATAAATCAGTCTTACAAAAGGAATTATTTATTACCCAGTCCTGGAAGGAAAAGCAGTCTGAAGGACAGAGCTGGTCACTTTGACTCCCGTGTGACGTT